CCCCTACTAATCAGGTGCTCGGATTACTAAAGCTACGGCTGATCTCGCGCCTTTTCCATACTACGAGTTTTCGAGACTGGGGTAGATTGGGTAAGGCGAGACTAGACAGAGTGGCCCCCATATGCAGTATAAGCTTCAGCGCAACCTTTTAGTCTCGACGGAGGAAAGGAACGGAAAGGGTTTGTGATGTTCAGGGCTCTGAATCTAAGGGCCTCGGATCACGGGCGACTGTTCAATTTTGAAGTCAAGCACAGCGATAGGGAAAACCAAACCAAAGCAAGTTTGGCCAGAGTCGTCTCGCAGAGCTTCTGATATTTACCTGCTAGAGCCTGTATCGAAAGAGCGCCAGAGGACCACGGAGGTTTTCTTGAGGGACCCGAACGAACTCCGGTGCAGGGAACGGGCAGGTTTTAATGGCCAACGGACCGGGGCGATTGTGTGGGGGATATTGAAGGGGCTGCTGGTGTCAGGAAGTATTGAAGCACATGTGCTTATCTACAGCTGCACCTGTGCATGCATCGCACTTGCTTGATACGGCTACGGTGCTTTGTCGAGGAAGTTCTGACACCTGAACGGGTTTTGGGTACGGGGTGCCCTGCCCCCTGAATAAGTTTGCTTTGACAAGAAGACCCCTCCGGCAAAAGGTAACAAGGCAGAACTGCACAAGCAAGGACAAACCATTCAGATTCAAAGTGGTGGTCGGAAATTTCGAGGATGCGGTTGTCGCATGGGCTTCGGGTAGGGCTCAGAGCCTCCATAGGTGTAGAAAGGACTTAGGCCCAGTTTAGGCTTGAAGGTTTTGGTGACTGTATACGCTCTCACAACTTTTAGCGACTATTAAAGGACTGAAGTTCACGAAACCAAGCATACGCCTTATACCACCGCAGCCCAATAACGACACAAACCCCTAAACCCTGAACCGCCTCCTGCCTAACCCCCAAACCCTATAGTAACCTCATAGCTATAACAACACCCAACTACAATGACATAGATAGTAGCCTCTAAGTCCATGATAAGCCCTAAAGTCGCCATTTAATTAGTAAGCCCTACATAGCGAGGATATGCAAAGCTGGACCAGATCGGACAATGCTGTCTTGAAGGCCACCATGCACATGCATGTAACAAGGAACCTAGGGTTTAAGGATTTAGGAGTTCGCGGTTTAAGGATTTTTGGGACGTCACTACAAAAGGGTAAGTTCAAACCACCACAATCTTGGAGCAAAGTAAGACATCCGGAAAGCTTAAACCCTTTTGCATCCAGCCTGCGGCGCCTCTGCTGGGAAAGGTAGGGGGAGCATGTTTCACACCACTCCCTTGTTTGCAGCATGCTCGGCACATCTGCAGGTCTACCCTGAAACCTATAGACCCAACACAGTACCTTCAAAGGAATCCTTCTAGAACCCTCTAAGGAACCCTAAACCGAAACAACCTGCAGAACTTGCTGAGGCACATAGGGAAGATGGCAAAAGTGATGCCCACGTCCAGGGAGACGCGGATCCTTGCTTCGGAGCTTGTCTGATTGAAGGTTCCATGGCGAATCTTATAGTCTTGTCATTTCAAGCATGAGTGGTCACTATTTTCCGTGAAGCCAACTCGCTTTCAAGTTGAGGGCGTAGTTTCCAGGAGCCAGATTCCAAGACATGGGAAAAACATGAACCCTGCTCCACCACCAGGGGCAACAATCCCGCTTCACTCTAAACCCTGCACTCCTTCGACATGTTAGATGCTGAACTCTAATCCATAAGCATCCCAACGTACACTGAAGCGGAGTGTCATTCGCGGCCAGGTCCCTGAGTAGAAGAACATGGGTCCTGCAGCAAGCGCAAGCAGCCCAGAGGAATCGGCGTTTAGGCTCTAGGGTTTGGGGTGGGGCCCCCCACCAATGACAGGGGGAGGGGGGGTGGTCCGGCCACAGAAACCGTCGGTAGTAACAACAACGATAACGACAATGACAGCGACAGCGACAACGACAACCACCACCGCGACAACGACAACGACAACAACGACGACAACAACAACAGTACAACGTACAACGTACAGCGTACAACGTACAACGTACAACAAACACCAAACACCAAACACCAAACACCAAACACCACCACCACCGCCACCACCA